ACTAAAATGAATAGAAGAAATAACAAGAATGAATAAAAGAAACCCTTTCTTTAGGGAGTAGTTGACAAAAACTGAAGAGATCTCCGCTAGAACCCCACTCATCACCAGGCAGTCAGTGAGCAGCAAACACACTCAACCTCTCTAATAGGAAAGGAGAAACGTACCCAACTGGAACAACGCATCTGCTTACCTGCACCCAACATTTTTGAAGCTGTGGGGAATACACTTATGAAAGTGGATATCTTGGTAAATGTTTTACAATATCAAATGGAGAGGGAAGTAGAAAAGAGGAAGAATGGTCTGTAATTCAGGAACAGAGCTTCATAGAACCTGACACTCTCTTAAAAATCCCTTCCTTGGGCTGGAGAAACAGCTCAGTGGATAAACAGGCTTGGTGTGCAGCCATGAGCAGCAGAATTCAGAGATCCCAGCGCCTGTAATTCCAGCACCAAGGAAGCTGAGACAGGATGATCTCTAGTTCAACAACAGCCTGGGCTATATTGTGTCTTAGGGTTGTTATTGCTGCAACAAAATACCATGACCAAAAAGCAAGTTGGGGAGGAAAGACCTTGTTTGGCTTACACTTTCACATTGCTGTTCATAATGGAAATCAGGAACTGAAATAGGGCAGGATCCTGGACACAGGAGCTGATGCAGAAGTCAGGGAGGAGTGCTGCTTACTGGCTTGCTCCACATGGCTTGCTTAGCCTGCCTTCTTATAGAACCTAGGACCACCAGTCCAGGGATGGAACTACCCACTGGGACTGGGTCCTCCTCCATTGGCCATTAATTGACACACAAAACCAGCTAGTACATATAGTGAGACCTTGTCAAAACAACCACACTTACCCAAACTCTGCTTTGGTATGAGTAAGCCACATTCTTGAGTTGTTCATTTGTTTACCTCCCTAGAGATTTTAATCTTGTACTAAGCAAGATAGGTGACAGTTAAGTGAGAAAGGGCATTGTAAGTGGAGAGAAGGGAAATTTGGGTGTAATACAGAGTTACTGTTATTTATCTCAGTGGGTTTTTGTTGGGATTGAACATATTTAACACATGAATAGTACTTGGCCCAAAGATGGTGCATATTTTATCATACTGTGTGAAGATGTGTTGCTGTTTTACCTTGCTTGCTTAAGGCACCTGATTGGCTTAATAATAAACTGAATGGTCAATAGATAGGCAGGAGAGTTTAGGTGGGACTTCTGGGCAGAGAGAGGAACTTGGGGTATGAATTTAGGGCATAAGAGACGCCAGTGAGATACTGAGGAAGTTGGATGTACAGAATGGAGGAGAGGTTAATAAACCATGTGGCAGAATATAGATTAATAGAAATAGGTTAATTTAAGTTATAAGAACTAGTTGGGAAGAAACTGAAGCTAAAGGCACACTTTCACAATTAATAATAAGTCTCTGTGTCATTATTTGGGGGGCTGGTAGTCCCAAAGAAAGTCCAACTACACAGAGAAAATAGTTGATAAGTTTTAAATTACCATGATTATTAATTTGTACATCTCATGTTCATACACTCAGCTGATTTCCAACTCGATAATGAATCTTTTAATATTTTTATATATTAAGAGTATATGTCATGATATAAATTACAAAATATTTCACGTTATTGCTTAATTTTTCCTTTTCTATCCTCTTCCATTCCTTCTTTTCCCCCCCTCTTTTCTAGTACTGGAGATTGAAGATAAGGCTTACTTTGTAACCACAATCCAACCTTCTACACTATTTCATTTTTAAATGTTTTTTAAATTAAAAACTTGAACTTTTTCCTTTACAGGTATTTAGTATTTACTCATGCATGGTTCTGGAGGTCCAAAATCCTAAAGAAGGTGTTGGCAGGCTTAGTTCCTTGTAGAGCCTGTGGTGGAGAGGGTTCCATGCTTTTGGTAGTTGCTGCCAGTCCTTGGCATTTAGCTCAGAGTTGAGGCTCTGCTCTGTATTCATGCATCCCCTTCCCTGTGTGTTCCTGTGTCTTTCTTTTCTTACAGAAACTCCAGTATTAGATTTGGGGATCTATTCTACAACAAGGTCTCATCTTGAGGTTTAGAGTAGACTTAAATTTGAGGGGCGGGGGTGCTGTTCATCACCTAACAGTTTATTTTGTGGCTTCCCAAAATGTACACTTTCCATTTGCAAAATACACTCACTCTCTACCTCAACACTCAACATCTCCAAACGTCTTCATCTATTTTTTTTTTTTTTTCGAGACAGGGTTTCTCTGTGTAGCTTTGGAGCCTATCCTGGCACTCGCTTTGGAGACCAGCCTGGCCTCAAACTCACAGAGATCTGCCTGCCTCTGCCTCCCGAGTGCTGGGATTAAAGGCGTGTGCCACCAACGCCCAGCTTCGTCTTCATCTATTTACAGATCAGTTATAAATCCTCATTCTCATATTATCAATTAAAAAAAAACCCAAATGTCACGAAGATCAGAGGCAAACAAGACTCTGGATGTGGTAATATTTTATCTTTAAAGAAATAGGCTATAAACTGGAATTCAGAAACCATTTTGTAGGGTCAATTTCTGGATGATGACTTATGGAGTCTTATTTATGAATTACTACTACCATTAGAACATATGAATGTAGCTAAATGTAATAGAATTTAATCAATTATGCATTAATACCTAGTATGTGCCAGACACTCTACTAGGTGCCAGCAATTTATCATTGGCGTATTTGTAGATACACGAGGCATGGGGTGGGGATGGAATGCAAGTCTCTGCATAGAATTCACTTGTGTTTCATATTGCTTCTTATACAGAAAGCCTGAGGGCAATTTTTGGCAATATTTTAATGTGCTAGTGTTTTGAGTGTGACCTGACACCCAAGATCTGATGTGGGACGTTGTGCTTGTGGCATCATGGCAGCTTAAAAAAATATCTGGCTGGGAGTGATACTGAGTACCTTTGATCCTAGAACTCTGGAGGCAGATGGGTCTCTGAGCTTGGGCTATCCTGGCCTACATAGTTTTAGGCTGGCCAGAGCTACATAGTGTGACCCTGTCTCAAAACATGGATTTGTGTGCACAGTAGACTTCAGGTAATCTGGTGAGGCTGACAGAAACCATGGAGTAAGTTCCACTGTTTGCTGTTCTGTTTTCCTAAAGTGCCGTCATGTGACAGACTCTCTGGTGAGTCAGGTTATGCATGTCTGCCCCTTCCCAGGTGACATGACCTTGCTCACCTGTTGTCACAGCCACCTGGGAAATACTTGCTGAACACAGTGTGATTTTCAGGTTGCTGGTGCTCTTCCTCATTCTCTGTTCTGTTCATCCTCATCACTATCTTAGAAACTACTTACTTTTCAGGATGCAGCATCAGCACCACATTTCTATTAAGGAGCTCTCTTTGCATTCTCCCATGGTTACTGTTAGCTGCACCTTAACTCTATCCTCTATCCTCCCATTGGCATTCATTATTGGTCTTATTTATATTACTACAAGTTGACTTATTTTCCTAATGTGTAAACTAGAGTTACAGTTCTATTCATGGGCTTTGCACCTAGTAGGCAAATAATGAAATAAATATAAATTTTAAATTGGTTTTAAATTTCCCAATAGACAAAATGAAGTATTCCTGATGCTTTAATTCATATGGACAGTGTTTAATTGCTTTGATTAGATGTATTCCAACCCCCAAATATGGAGACATAAATATGTTATCAAGCTGGGCAGTGGTGGCTTACACCTTTAATCCCAGCACTCGGGAGGCAGAGGCAGGCAGATCTCTTTAAATTCCAGGCCAACCTGGTCTACAAAGTGGGTTCCAGGATAGGCTCCAAAGCTACACAGAGAAACCCTGTCTCAAAAACCAAAAAATAAATAAGTTATCAAAATGAGTGAGTACAGCAGGCATGTATAATACCATAATCATATTATGCTGAATAATAACATACTATGAACATTAATAGCTTATTTTATAAATTATATCAAACAAGCAATTATATGTACTTATAAACATGTTAATAGTTAAACATTTTTTCTCTTTGTGTTAGAAAGTCTTTATTTTATACTTTTCTTTTGTGATACAGGCTCTCATGTATCTTAGGCTGGCCTCAAATTCACTATGTAGTTGAGAATGTCCTTGAACTTAGTGTGGTGTGTGTGTGTGTGTGTGTGTGTGTGTGTGTGTGTGTGTGTGTGTGTGTACACAGTATAGTCTTGAACTTTGTGTGTTTAGTATAGTGTTGAATTTTGTGTGTGTAGTGAAGTCATGAACTTTGTGTGTGTGGTATAGGTGTGTGTGTGTGTGTGTGTGTGTGTGTGTGTGTGTGTGTGTAGTGCAGTCTTGAACTGTGTGTGTGTGAGTGTACATAGAATATATGTGATGGTCAGAGGACAACTTGGGAGTCAGTTTGGTTCTTCTGCTATGTGTGTCCCAGAATTGAATGCAGGGCATCAGATTTATATTTTTGCCTGCTGAGCCATCTCACCAGCCCTGCTGGTTGTTTTTTGTTGTTGCTTGTTGGCTTTGAGATAGGGTCTTCCATAGCCCAGGAGCTGGCCTCGTACATGCTATGTAGCTAACTATGACTTTGAAATTCTGTCCTTCCTGTCTCTGCTTCCCAGGTCTGTGTCACTGTGCTCAGTTTATGCAGTGCTCAGGATCCAACCCATGGCTTCCCATGTGTTAGGGAAGCATGCTACCCCCTGGGCTGCATCTCCAGTCCTGGTACTATACATTTGTCATTTTCCATTGCTGTATTTACCTACGTTCATAACATATTAATCCTTAGAGAGCCTCCAGTTTGTTAAGAGGTTATTCTTGGCACAGTTATTTAGAGACTTTGGAAGTATAATAAATTATGAGCTAGTGTGAAATATTGAATTTTTAATTTAAGATCTGGGGGAAGGCAGCTTTAGCATTTTTTTTCTTATTTGAGATTTTTACTTAAGTGATTGGCAAAATAGAAAATAGAGTGGAAGAATACTGTCTTCCTCTCTTGGATAAATAGCCATTTTAACTTGGATGTTTCTTTTTCTACTTTAGACTCAGTCCTCCTGTTCTTCCACTGTGTTCTTTAAAAGACATAAGATTGTCTATGGACAAATTCTTCAGAGTAGAACCATCTGATGTTACCAATGGTTGTTTTATTTCTATTTTAACAAGAGAGGTAAGAGGGAAGAAAACTCCTAATCCATGACGTACTTTGGAATTGAAACAACAAACCCTTGTCATGGGAACCCACTTCATGACCATTTTGCTGTGGCTGCTGGTATTTCACGAATAGCTGGAGGGCAAGAACAGGATTATCACTGTGCAGCATTCGATATCTGCTCTCCATACTTCTCCTCGGCATTCCTCTTTGATTTGCCCTCTACTCCTACCTCTCCCAGCAGTTTGCCAACTGTCTACTGTATCTTCCTTAACATATAAGAAATAAACAGTGTAATTCATATGAGGTCTGTAAATGGGGAAGTTGAACTAAGAAAAAAATTATTTGTTAGGGCTTATGAGTTATGTTAGGGTCTAAGGCCTAAAAACATTTACTTCAATATGTTTTAATTTTCACAAAATCACTGACAGATATTTAAAATCTCCACACTGATGGTGGCCTCCCACATTAACAGCTGTCACTTTCATTGCAGCGAGACCCATCCGAGACCGTGTCTGTGAAGGATGTTCTGGCCCGAGCTGCAGCCAAAGGTCTATTGGATGGGGTTGAGGTTGGGAAGACAGGCAAACGGGAGAAGAAGAGGAAGAAATCCAAAACATTACTGCCCAAAGCTCCTGTTAATGAAACAAATGACATCCAAGTGAAAATCAACGAGTTCCTGAACCGAGAAAGTAAAGCAAGTACTAACCGAGGTGAGGTGTTAACAGCAAAAACATCTCTCCCATCAAAAACTGTGTCTCAAATGGGCGCTTCCTCCCACGTCAGAAAAACCAACAAGCAAGCCACCAGTCCTTTAGCGACCACATTGACAAAGAACACTAGGCCAGAAGAACGGCACATAACCTTGAGACGAACTCGGCCAGAAGGCAAAACGATTCCCCTGAAATCCGTTGAGATCGTTTTGCCTCCAGTAATATTCCCTTTCTCGAGTGCTCAGGGGGCCAGATCTCAGACGCCAACAAACCACTTGTACTATCGCTTGGGTGGATCAAAGGCTGGCTATCTTACATCAGCACTTAAAAAAGGGGAGAAACCTAAGGAAACCACAACTTCCCTTCTCAGGCATCCCAGACCATGGCTTTGACTGTGTGACCCTTCCTCCAGGCTGGCTGGGATTTTTTTACATTTAGACACTGTTACACAAGATACTGGGGCTTTTGGTCGCTTAGTATCTTCATTACCTCCAGAGAATGAAGACAGATGAGAAATAACAATGGGGGGATTGGGTGAGCAAAGGCTTCATCCGCTCAGTGCTAATCTGTTTTAGGATGCCCAGCTGCAGAGTGGATCAGCTGGTAGAACTTGTCTCACTCCTGGGAGTTTGAAGTGTAGACTCAGCAGCTGTCTTACCTGAAGGGAGCAGAGTACACCTTCCAGCAGGCTGCTGTGCCCACTTCACTGAGGGGCATGGTACAAAGTCCTGTCCTATCCCGGCCACTCCAGCTCCAGCCAGGACTCTGGGACCACTCCTTAGCCAGGCAGTTACTGTTGTTGAAACCTCTTGAATCCCAATTGAGGCCAGTTTTTTTTTTTTTTTTTTTTTTTTTTTTTTTTTTTTTTTTTTCCTTAAGCATCCTGCTGTTCCTGAAACAGAGCATGCCAGAAGGTTCTGTAATGGACTGAGTTTTGGGTAGGACTAGGAAGCACAGGAAATTCCTGGTGCCAGTTGTGCACAGTCCAGATGTCCATACTGAAAAAAAAAATTTCTAGAGAATTCCAGAGTCTGGAGTAGACTGCGCACAATAATCCCTGCCTTCTGTTTATCCACACACTGTTGGGAAAGGACAGCAAGCAAATTCTACCTAAGCATTCTTGTTCTGAGAAAGAGGTCTGTTGAACACAAGCAATGTATCATTGAAAATACTCAAGATTTCTGATTCTATGCAAAGATCAGGTGACACAGCCAAATGTACAAGTCATTTCTATGGCACACAGTGATCAAACCTTGGTAACTCATTTCTGATGCACAATTAAAATACATTATAGCACTATGTTATACATTAAATGTCAATTACTCTTAGCTATAGTAACAATTTCCTACCAATATTGACATGATTGTCATTTCTGGGTCTGATTTTTTTCATCATGGCAACAGAAATTGTTTGACATTAAATAAAGTTATGACTACAAACCTTATTTTTAAAGAGTTCCAACACATTTGGAGTTTGAATGTAAAGCTTTATCTTTAGAATTCAGTTGTGGAGAAGTGTGAGTGAGTGCTAAATGCTCAATTTAGGTAGACTGGGATCTGTTTTAGCTCTAGTGGTTTTTCCTGGCTCACTTGAACTGGGAAGGACAAAGGATTGCTAGGTTTAGTTTCTTCTTTCTTTTCTTCCTTTTTTTTTTTTTTAATTTTGGATTTTCAAGACAGGGTTTCTCTGTATTGCTTTGGAGGTTGTCCTGAAACTCGCTCTGTAGACTAGGCTGGTCTTGAATTTAGAGATCCACCTGCCTCTGCCTCCCAAGTGCTGGGATTAAAGGTGTGAGCCACCAACGCCCTCCCGGTTTAGTTTTCATAGTGCAGTTTTCTTTCAGTCCAAGATTACATTCTTTGAGTGAAGAAATGAGCTTATACTTCAAGAGGTTTATATTTATATTCCAAAGAAGTCTTGCTAGTTATGACTCTTAGAATGCACAGAATTTAGGAAACAGGAAGAAGGGTTCCATCCCAGTTACGGTCTAGCCTGAGCTGCTCAGCAGTATCTTGTCTAGGCTGGGATATGGCTCAGCAGTGGAGGCCTTGCTTAGCATGTATCGGGTGCCAGTTTCCATCCCCAGACCTATAAGACACAAGCCCACACACTTCCATTGCTTAGGTATTTTACCAAGATATAAAACATGCATCTCTTTAATTTACCATCATCCAGAGTGGAGCTGCCATTTCATCCCAGCAAGGGAGCTCAGACTGAAAGCCATTCCACCCAAGCTGAGGATTTTTATTTTCAAGTGTATTTCCTGGGTTAGCTGCCTCACGGAGGCTCAGGGTATTTTCTGATCTCTAGCAGTATGTGATTCACATCACCACTTGTAGCGACTTCAGTGTCTCCTGATTTTCACCTTGGCATTAAATTAGTTTTCTCTTTGCATATTCATAGAGATACCGATGGAATCCATCTATTAAGCTTGTATGCTCTTCTTTAGCAATCTTCTTGGGAAGACAGGATCAATTATTTACTGGTAAAGTAAGAAGGAAAACAGGATAAAAGCAACATGAGAGAACTCTGGTGAAGATTGCTAGCCACACCATCTTTTAATTTGCATTGTACTTTCTTGAGCTTCTTAAAGTGCTGCAAAATGAAAAATAATCAACCTACTAGTATTTAACTACTGCAGCAATAATTCATTTTTTTTTTTCAATTTATCTATTTACTTTGTGGTGCTGGGGAACCCCAAACCTTGCCCAAATAAATTCAGATTCTTACCTGAAACTATTACCAGTGTAAAACTCCTGGAAGCAGTATAAAATGTTCATTGAGAGTTACTGTCTTTAGTAGTACAAACAAGGTGGAGTGTGGTGGCACACATCCGTAATCCCAGTACTTAGGAGGCTGGGGCGGGAGGATCACCATGAGTTCGAGGCCAGTCTGGGTTACAAAGTGAGATCAATCTCAAAGACAAAAACAACACCACACAAGGAATGAATAAAATGTATACTTTTAATTCTTTGTCTTCTGTGTGTAAAGGAGTTAAAACAGACCCAACTGACTCTCTAGTTACCACCTTTCATTTGGGATTTAATGCACTTCCCACCTCCATCTGTCATTCTTACAGGAATAAAAGGCAGGCTTCTTGTGTGTGCTGAAATACCTTAACCCTAAAAGACTGCTCACAAAAAAAAAAATTCCAGCCGATGACTAGATGTGTTCAGAATGCTAGCTCTCTCTCCTGACTAAACAGTAAGGGTTAGAAATTACTCAAAGTAACTCATTCATTCTCACCAAGAGGGAAAACACTAATGAAAGCAGAATCTTATTTACTGAAATGATTTTTAAAAAGTTTAATTTGAAGTCAGAATAATACAAAAATAAAATAACTACTGCAGAGACACTAAGTTTGTATCTGTTTCTTATATACGTGGCCATGCTGTCAGATAAACGAGTCAAACATCGTATGCAGCTACATTTATTCTCACGACACTTTACATTTAAACGTGTAAACGTGGTCAACAGCAAAAGGTGTCAAAATGAAAACAAGATGTCCTTTCAGGAGGAAGTGGCTGACATGGCTGCCTGGCTATGCTCTCACAGATAGTGCAAGTAAAGATCTTTGCCTTGAAATGCATCACCCCCCACCCCCACCATGGTTCCAGGGATTAAACTCAGAGCTCTTCACATTATGCAAGCGCCCTACCACTGAGCCACACCCCCTGTGTGCTGAAACAAGTTCGATTGCTTTCTTACTAGCTGTAAACACATCAGATGTTAGGTTAAACCTGGCCAACTAGAGAGCTTTTGGTTTGATTAAATTGTGCTAATGTCAGGGAGACATTTTTCCAAGTGGCTTTTGAAACCTTGTGTTGCAATGTTCATAAAGTGAGTGTGCCATACAGTAAGGGAAGTTTTGGGGCTACAAGTGGCCCTGCTTTGAGTGGTTTGTTATGTGTCTTTCTTAAATGCCTAATGTGGATTTAGAAAAAAAAAAAAAAAAAAAAAAAGTAGCAGTGCCAACAGTTGTATCACCAAGAATTTGTTTTAATGGAAATGGGTCGAATGTCCCTTCATGCAGTAAGACAGACAAACAAAACAAACAATGGTTCTAATTAGCTATGGGTGATCTTGACTCCTGGTGGAAACAAAGGGCACGTGGATACACGTGTATCTCTGATGAAATCACACACACGTTGTGAAAGATATAAAAATGAAGCACCACACAGTGCCTTAGTCTACGAAGAAAAGTTCTTAGCCCATAGGCATGTTGGCTACCACGCTGATGCTGCCAAGAAGCACAGGTAAAGTGGTCAGAGCACGTCTACCTAGTTGCTTTTAAAAAATAAAAGGAACTTTAAGCATTTTGCCCTTGCTTCTACATATTCCAATAGAAATGTGACTACAAATCATTACAAAACCACCTTTTAGGCGATGCAGTTCACTGAGATCACTCAGACCCGGGCACACTGACATTATACCCAGGAAAGAGAATACATTAACTCAACAATGCAGTATATTTCAGTAAAAATAGAATAAATAAAATAAAAATATTTTAAGCTGTATTTAACAAGTTAATTAAAAAAATGGTAAGACACACAAGGCATAGTGAACATGGCTGCCTGTTTACCGAATCACGGATATAAAGAATGCATAGATAACTGAAGAATCACTACGATTTCAGGTAAAACATTGGCATCCCTTCACAAACAAACGCAAACACACTTTCATACATACTTTTTGGCCATGGCAGAAAGTTGTCTGAACATACTGCTTAACATAATTCATTTTACAAAATCAACCTGCATTTAGTACACAAAGCTATTTTCAAAACAAAACAGTTGCAGTAAGAGTTCTTTATATGTAAAGGCTATTATTCATCTTACTGCATCCTGAAATTGCATATATAAATCAGTTTGCTACTTAAAGCTAGCTCAGTATTCTTGATCCTGAAAACAAATGTAGGTCTTAGAAACGAACAGGGAGTGGGTAGAGACTTCCTATAGAAACATGGATTACTTTAGAGTTTTGAAGCTGAGTGCATTAAAACATTTCACTGTGGAGCTCAAAATGAGAGACCATGATAACTAGATTCCGAGCAGTTTTTTCTCTGGGCACAGTAAGGTCTTCTGAATGCAGAAATTTCTCAGGTGGCACTGGTTACTTCGGCTAGTGTGCAAGTTGGCACCAAGTGTTAACACATTTTCTCAAGTAACATTGCTTTTATTGTCATGTGTGGGTGCCATCGAACTGCCCAGGTTCTCTGCATCTGACTCCATGGGTTTTCTGAGGGACCCACAGGCGGAGGATTCTCACCTCATCATGATCTGTGGTGGCTAAGTGCCACAAGTAATGTAATTTATAGAAAATTTCAGCTTGGAACAGACTGCTGAGGACAGACACTTGTCCTCTACAACACATTTGTACTGAGTCCTGTACTGAGAAAGGACAACGGTCTTAACAATAACTGCCACCGTATATATAAACTGGACATTTTCCTTAACACACTTGGGAATTCTGAAATTGCCTGACAGTATTTTCAGTATCTGTTCTTCCTTGCATGGACCCAGCGTCATTTGTGAAGGGTCTTCCCAGCTATGTGGGGGAGGCGTAATGTGGCAAAAGCTGGGAGACAAGGGGCCCTGATTCTGGCTCTCAAGAACTCTAGCGAGATCCTAGGCCACTCATTTAGCCTCTTGATACTGGGTATTTTGATTTCTTCAGTGAGTTTAGTACCTTTTCTACCTTGTAAGGCTCAAATGTGATAAAACCTGGGAAGCATTCTGACAACTGCAAAGTAGCCTATAAACATAAAGCATTGCTTCTATAAGGATATCAATTTTGACAATAAAAGTAAATAAGAGTAATATTAAGATTGATCTCCTTTGTAACTTCTTAAAATAATAATGTCAAGAAGAATCTAAATTTGTGTATCTTTATAGTTAGGTTTCTTAGCTACATAAAATGGTGCAAGAAAATGATATTTGGGGGACACTATCAAACAACCCATTATTTCTGTGTAGATTTTGCTCTGATAAGAAAAAAATTATATCTGGAAAGTAAAATGGAAAAAATAGAAGTCTTAAAACATATCTAGTCAAGTCTTACCAATTTCTAACATTAAATACACAAATTGAGGAAAAGTACAACTTAAATTTGTTGCCATGGACAATATACGATGGCTAGACAGCTTTCTGGACAAAAAACATAGAGAAAGGTTGTGGCAGACAGGGAACCCTGGGAATACATTTACCTCCAGGATGTGAACTAACAAGAATCATACAGTGGAGATCTAAAATCATAGTGTGGCAGAGATAAATGGCATTTCCTCAACTCTAAATTGCATATTAGCTCGTTATCAAACTAAGGATGGAAAGTGTGGGAATATTTCATTTTCAGGTGTGGGTAGAGAATGGCCATAGTACTCTTTAATTCTCTAGCTGCATTGTATAATGTAAGGCAGAAGTTTGAAATATGTCCCATCGCAAATGCATTATGACTTTGTTAATCTCTTTTTTAAAATAACTGGTTTGAAAACCAGCTGAAAAGAAAGGCTATTTTTTTTTGCTGATTTTAATTCCTCAAATTTAGTTTTCTATCAATTTTAAAGTTTTCTTTTGCCCAGCACCCCAAACAGCTGTAGACATGAAAGGGTGTCCATGCATCAGAGGAAAGTGGTTGGTTGATGTCTGTACTGATGCCCAACAGCCAATTTTGTCAACTGACGGGTTCACTTTTATGAAAAACTAAAACCCAAACTCGTCACTTTCTTTTTACAGCAAGTCAATGGCATCTGTTCCTCAGGGTCTGGATGTTTTAAAAGCTGAAAACAGGGCAAAGTGCCATGGGACCCCAAGGTTGCGTGTGACAGATCCAATCAAGAGGACAATGAAACCAACTTGGGCATGGTTTACTCCAAGGACGCAGTGTTAGTTCTCTAGGAAGGATGTGGCCACATTCTTCTGAGTGTGTGTGAAGTTCTGTTCACAATATTTACAGTAAAAAAAGACCTTCCACTGCCCATGATGTAACTTACAGAAACAAAACAAAACAAAACAAAAAAAACCTCATGCTTCTTTTCATGTCACATGATGGCGGCAAGACGAGATCACATGCTTGTCTAACATGTTCGGTTAGGGATAAATTATCTGGAGACAGAGCATCAGCAACAGAATGGAGGAAGGCCAGCTGTCGGCTTCTTTAGTGTAGACGTTTGATCTTCAGGGGTAAGTGACAGAATCCTTGAGCCCCCAGAGCTGCTAGGGTGTTTCTGTGACAGGGCGTTTCTGTTTCAAAGTGTCAATGAGAGATAAGACCCCTCGTTTTACATTAGTTGTGACTCTTCTAGTCATGGAATCCACTGGCGGGGGTGGAGGTCGAACTTTCTGTGAAGGTGGCCTGGCTACCAAGCACTTCTGATATCGCAACTGGAATAAAACAAGCAAGCAGCATTTTAGGTAATATTATTTCTTCTTATTTATTGTACTTGTGATTCCCTCAAAAGTTAATGGCCTGGCTTCTAAATATAAATCTAGGAATTCACCACCACCATTCGCCACCACCATCTGCTAGTACTTTCATCACTGTTCCTACTGCTGCCACGCCTCCCCTGCCCTCCGTAGTACTACAGTTACTATTGTGTGGTGGAAAAGACGATCCAGACAGGTCCTTGTGTATTCAGGGCAAGTGCTCTACCGCTGAGCACACCTGTAGTCCAGATTCATTTATTCCTAATGTGGGATGTTTGCCACAGCTGTTTGGCTTTTCCCACCCTTCCTTTCCAGCCACTGCTCACAGTCAAAAGCTAACCAAATGGAAAGGATCATTAGTAGATTATTAGTAGAGAGAGGGCATTAACTAAAGTTTTCCATCAGACCTGTACATCCAGGTAAATGTTTGTGACATGGCATGGTAGAAAGGGCACAGTCTGTATCCAGGCTCTATTGCTTGTGAGCTCTAGGAACCCAGTCATTAACATTTCTCCAACCCTCAGTGTCTTTGACTATAAAGTGGTTGAGAATAGACAATAAGGCAAACTGTAGAAAGCCTCAAACAAGCCTGGCAACACATCTTTGTTCCCGTCTCTGTTTCCTACTTTAATCGAAAATGTTGTACTGAGATTTCAGTATCTCTTTTATGTTCAAGTATAAATTGTAAGAGATTAAAAAACAAAACAAAACAAAATGCCATTAGCATTGGCAACATGGGCATATCTATCCTTCAGAAATATAACAACATAGGCCTGCTGAGATGGCTCAGCAGGTAAAGGAACTTGGTGTTCAAAACTTAAAAACCTGAGTTTGATGCCAGAAACCCGAAATAGGAAAGAATGAACTCCCAAATGTTGTCCATTGACCTCCACACGGGGCACTTGAGCACTTGCACTCTTTTTCACACACACCATATACACACACACACACTAATAAAACTTTTTTTTTTCTTTCTTTTTGAGACTGTTTCTCTGTGTAGCCCTGGCTGTCCTGGAACTCATTCTGTAGACCAGGATAGCCTCAAACTCACAGAGATCCACCTGCCTCTGCCTCCTGAGTGCTGGGATTAAAGGCGTGCAACACCACCACCTGGCAATAAAAACTTTTAAAAGAGAAATACATCAACATAGCCCACTTGTGTTTGTTCTAGTAGAAAGTTAAGTAATTCTTCTGTGTTAGATGGAAAAGATGAGGTTTACCATTTCTTTTTCATCTTCAAAAGTGAAGTGAAATGTCAACAGATGCCTTGGCCCAGTTACAGCTGCTTCTCCCTCAAACATGTGAAAACGCCCACCAAAACAAGGGATGGGGACTTAGAGTAGTCTCTCATATCCCACAGGCCAGAAAACTGGTCCCTTCAACTCAACACATACGAAAGGATGGCTTACCACGTGTCTGCTCAGCGGAGAACATCTTGCTAGGTCTGCATCACCAATCACACACCCCTACAACATCAATTTATCAGCAGGTATGTGTGGTAACATTAAGCCCTGGACTTGAAATTACAAATAGCAGCTTTGTATGCATATCGTCAATCAAAATTGCACAGATCTAATGAAATTCAAAAATAAAGAATCCCTTCTGACCCATTTGGAATGTCACTAAAATGTCTTCACTTAGGGCTACAGGACACAGCTGCAAAATGGCGTTAAAAGTGAATTCAAAAGAATGTGTCACTACCATGGCTCCTATAGTACTTGTCCATGTGTAAGTATTCCAGATGGAGAATGACAAGGATTTGAATGAAGAAGGGAACCCCTGCACTGGGGAGAGCTGCATCAGAGTGTGGGTGTGGTGGGGAGCTTGGACTGCACCCACATCCCTTCTACCACACTGCCCGAGCTACTCCAGCTGGTTGCATTAATAAAATTTTTATTTTTTTTTAAAAAAAGCATGTTTTCAAGTGGAAAAATGAGTCTGGGAATCTGGAAAAACAAAACTGTAGCCACTGATAAAACTAATTAGCTAACTGTCATTAGCATTTAAAATGCATAATTAAGAGTGAAAGCCATTCATTTTAGACCCAAAGCATCTGCTGTGCTCCATTTCAATTTTGTAAAATATCTAGTTTTTTTTTTTTTTTTTCTTGACTGAATAGCACTTGTTTATTTCCCATAGTCTCTTCCTCCCACCTAAAGGCTCTACACCTGGTTCCCAGGTTCACCTCAACTCCTGCACTCCCCTGCTCCTCTCCCCTCAGCCATGCTCCTTGACACCCAGGCTTGTGAGCATTAGCATACTGGATGCACAGCACTTAGAGGAGACACCCCTGCCACTGAGGACCACTGAGTGGGAACCAGAGGGAGTGTGGATCCCAGGTCTCCCCCCCACCCCAGGCAACAGCACCTGAAAGATTAAAAAAAAAAAAATGTGTGTGTGTGTGTGTGTGTGTGTGTGTGTGATGTGCTACAGGACAGAGGATCACTTGTTGGTCTTTTCTCATGTGGGCTCTACGTAGGGCCAGGGCTCAAAATGAGGTCACCAGGTTTGGTGGCAAGTGCATTTACCTGATGACCTTCTCACTGGCCTCAGCAGATATCCTTAACTAATTTGCTCTTTTCCTGTTCCATTGTCTAGTCATCAATGCCCTTCACCCTGGGAAGGCAACAATACCTAAGACAGAAATTTAGGAAAGCAGCTAGAATGTACAAAATGTATAAAACCACACAAGATGTCATTTTTTTTTTTTTTAAATCTGGATTCAGAACTCATTTTGGGGATGACACGAAAACTGGCTTTGGTGTGATTTATGATTCCTTGGATTGTGCAAGGAAAAATGAGCCCAAATGCAGCCTTGCAAGACATGGCCTGTATGAGAGAAGGATGCCAAGAGGACAACAAAAGGAGCTGGAGCTGAGAGTGAAGGAGGAGAGGGCACTGCCAAGGCCAGCATCGAGGATGGCAAAGGCGGGCTGGGGGTAGGTGTGGGGGGCAGTCTGTAGTGGCAGGCCCCCCACAGTGCTGCCAACTTTTACACAGAGGACTGAAAACTGAAAAAACTTGAAAAACAAACTAACCCCCAAATGTGCTGTAGGCAAAGGCAGTTTCCAACGCCCCTATACTTTCATGAAACCACTGTCTTTTGTGCAGTCTGTCAGTCACATGAATGTCATTACGAGGCACATGGTATATGTAGATTTTTCAGCACAAGTGTGCAGATTGCCTCCATCCTAAACTAACCAAGCTCACAGACCAGGTAGTGTTGTCCCTTAGACAACCCCCATGACAGGCTTTCTTAGCCCCCCACTTTCAGAGCTCTTTTCTTTGTCAATTCCTTCTCAATCTAGTACATTTATAGCTCTTCTCACACTACCGTGGGGTTTTGTATTTTGTGTCTCTCCTACCATATCTGACCTCCCTGATTCACACTTGGGGCTCCCTGGGGTCTGTGCAGCCCATGGACATAGAGAAGGGACTCCTCCATGCCCACAGCACACCTTACCTCCTAAGCATCTCAGCAGAGAAGAGGAGAGTGATTTCCTGTCTCTCTCTGCTTATAATCTATTTCTGCCCAGCTACATCACTTCCTGTCTGTCTGTACAGACCTCCAGACCTCTATGGTTAGCTAGTGGCAAGCTCCATTATCTGACCCCCAGACAGGCTTTATTTGTACAAGAAAGATTATCATCACACCAGTCTAGGCTACACAATGAGTTCCAGGCCAGCTACTGTGAGACCTTCTCAAAAACCACACCCAAAAAGCTCCAGAAGCTAGAGATGACCAATTCCTACTTGATAATCTTTGCTGGAGAAAGTCAAACTTCACCAGTCTTTCATGACAGGGGTCCTGTTTCTTCCACCAGTTCCAGTGACTCAAACTGCTACCACTAGATTATGCCCCGGACCTCAGGCCCTGGTGCATACCTTCACAGTTCCTTTGCTCTGACCACAAGTTCTGCAATGTGTGTATGAAAGGTGCCTGGAGCACATCTGCTCAATGAAGAGATGTTTTTCATCTCAAATCAGACACACTGTGAAGTATCCTGGCCCTGTGACCCAGCACGATGGGGTTGTGTGGCTGACCCTAGCTTATTATTTACTCCTCTCTCTCTCTCTCTCTCTCTCTCTCTCTCTCCTCTCTCTCTCTGTTTTTTTAAAGCATTTATTTATTTATTTATTTATTTATTTATGTATACAACATTCTGCTTCCATGTATATCTGCACACCAGAAGCTTGTAACGGATGGTTGTGAGCCACCACGTGGTTGCTGGGAATTGAACTCAGGACCTCTGGAAGAGCAGTCAGTGCTCTTAACCTCTGAGCCATCTCTCCAGCCCTCTCTCGGTTTTTTGAGACAGGGTTTCTCTGTGTAGTCCTGGCTGTCCTGGAACTCGCTTGTAGACCAGTTTAGCCTTGAACTCACAGGGATCTCTCTGCCTCTGCCTCTCAAGTGCTGGGATCAAAGGTATGTGTGCCTCTGGTCTCTCATCTCATAAACAAAACAAAACCAACTACCGGTTGTGGTTGTTGTGAGGATTAAGAGATAAATAATAAATAAAATAGATAATAATAATGCATTGAAAACAACCATGGGCAAAAGAATCACTTGTTAATTTTTTTTAAAAATACTGATTTGAAGGCAGATTTTGATAACTCACACACAACTAGCATTTCTTGGTCACATACTGAAATTATTAATTAGGGGTCCAGAATAGATGACCCTTAAGTGTTATTGATTCTCTACAGAGCCCTGACTCCTGAGGTGTGCTCTGCCGGTCTTAACAGATTCTGCCCACAAATATGAGAGTGCTATAAAGTATAGGGCTTTCGGATTTAAATAAGGATTTCCACTCTAATATACAGCATCTAGAACAAGCAGGGTAGGGAGGGTTAAGCACAGGGAAGGCTCTCTCACCATGCAGGCAGCCTGGACGGCTTCTGACACATTGGCAGCATTAGGCTCACACCAAAACACGTGGCACTCAAAGCGCTGGTTCCCAGTGTCCATGATGAAGGCAAATGTATGGACATCCTTCCCGACACCCATGAAGGACAGAAACCGCACTCGACACTCCACCAAGACTTCCTCTTCGTTCTGCAAAAGACATCATTCAGCACCTGTGCTCTCTGGGAAGCTAGACAGCCATCACCAAAAACTTCACACCTAAAATACCTCAGAGAATCCAGCTTGTAGAGTCCGGTAGGACTCACATCTTATTAGAAAGTGAAAACTTGGCTAAGTGGCCAGAGAGGCCATCACTGCCGTGGGTGCCTCCTGGTATCTGATCTCACAGTGAATGACATTGCTGTTGTGGAGTGGGATGTGTCCCCCATTCTCCATCCACCGTATTCCACATTTGCTCTTCATTGTGGGAGGAACAATGTCATATACACTTCTATATACCGCCCAATGCAGGACACTCAGTGGCTCAAGACCTCTTTGTCTACGTGAACCTCAAGGGTCCAGGAGAAAAAGACTGACAAGTCTCTCTCCATCGGTTTTTACTTAAGCACCAAATCACGTCCAATACCGTGGAAGACAAAATGCTGCTTAATCAACACATTTGTCAATTTGCCCTCCCCCCCTACTTCACACACACACACAAGGCAGCATAAAGATGTGTGTGGGATTCATTTCATAGCTGACATTCATGGCAGCAACCACAGGCAATTTGTGAGTTAGTAAACACAGCTAGAATGCCAGCTTTCAAATTGTAACATTCTGGTTTGTTAAATATTTATTCATTCAGGAGTGAGACACATCTCAAAGGCAGAATACCCTGGACAGAGGTCAGGAGGTTTGGGGAAGAAATGCTGGAGCTGGAATTTGGGAGAGAGGGTATGGGGAAAGGGTGGTACATGGAGGGAGCTGCACCAGCTAGAACACTGCAGCGGGAGAGGGCACAGCAACATGCTTTTGGAGCAGAGTGAAATCCAGCAAGAGCACAGAGGTAGGGCAAGATTCTGCCCACCAATGGGGGTGAAGTGGGTGACGGTGACCTGTTGGTGGCAGAAGCTGGGATATGTCTATGACCTGAGGTCTTCCTAGCTCATGTGCTTCATACACCTTGTAAAGTGGGCTAGACTCAGACTGCCTGGCTTTAAGGTCCTGTCCTGTGTTTCCAATTTGATCTTAGACAAGCGACTTGGTTCAATCACCACGATGGGATAATCTGGGTTGAGCTAATGCCAACCTGTCAGGATGATCAATGATCTGTTCTCCAGAAGTTATTTCAATGGGCTTCCCTAGCACAGGCAATGTTTGCACCCAACCCCAGACAGCACGGTCTATTCTACACCAGAGCCTTAAACGAAACGAGCATCCACAGTAAGCTACTGCTCGTGCCACGTGTCACCTGGAGTAATTTTAATCTCTAGAGCAAGTGGGGAAGGCAGTATTGGTCCATCAGGATAGAGGTTTCCATGTTCCTCACGAGGAAGGCACAATTAGACCTAGACAAAGCCCCCAAATCTTCTATAAGCATAGGCCATTTTAATCACAAGTCAGTATAACCTCCAAAACGTCAAGCCTTGACTCTGTTTCCAGGTCTTATGAAAGACCATTCTATCTAAAACCTCCCCAATAGCTCAGGCAAGCATCACCTCAACTCCTTACCTTTTCACTGATGACTGTCACAGTGGCATCCGCCACGTTCATGTTCACAGAAGGCCAATCCTCCTGGCTGGATGAGGTCATAAGATTTTCTATGGCACTGTTCAGGGTGTCCATGCCTACAGATAGAAAGGGTAATGGAAATTTCACTCTCTAATGCAGGTCCAATTACTTAGTAACAGTCACATCCAGGTGTGACCTTTGTAGCTCCTGGAGTCGGGCCACCTTATCGTTTTATCCTCAAGTTTGCTCAGAAGAAAAGAGCCAGTTTTTCCAATAGAGTCATGAACACCTCCAAGGATCCAGTGTATGTACAGGCGTGTGTGTGTGCATACGTGAGTGTGTGTGTGTGTGTGTGTGTGTGTGTGGGTGTGTGTGTGTGTGGGTGTGTGTGTGTGTGGGTGTGTGTGTGTGTGGGTGTGTGTGTGTGTGTCCTGGCTATGAGACTGTGAGACACTCCAACCTCAACCCTGCCTTTGAGAGGCTGGGGAAGCAGACCCAACAGAAGCCAGCATCTACCAGAGTGCCAGACCCTCCTTCATCACACTTGACATTTAGTCAGGCCAGAGTTGATGGCCCCTTTACAGAAACACTACATACTGCCCAGTGGGGTTCTTCTGCTAGCTGTAGAACAAACACATTTAAAACAAACTAAATCTGTTTATTGTGTATGTGAGCACATGACACAGCACGTGTGTGTGTGTGTGTGCGTGTGTGTGTGTGTGTCTGTGTGTGTGTGAGCAGACAACTTTCCAGTTGTCCTTTGCCTCCTGAACTATCTTTCCTGCTCAGACGTAACAACTTCATTGTCATATAACTCACGTGGAATTTACTATTTCTAAAGTATACTACTCAGTGGTTTTCAGTATTCACAGCGTGGCTATCAAATCAACTTTAGAATATTTTCAGCACCCCTGTAACTCTTAAGGGGCTACTCTCTATGTTCCCCACAGCCCAGCCTCAAATCAACTCTTACTTGCTGTCTAGTTCTGGGGACCTGCCTATTATTAGCATTCATGTGAAGAATCCCACACAGGCCTGGTGATGGTGGTGGATGCCTTTAATCCCAGCACTTGTGAGGCAGGGGCAGGTGGGGTCAAACAATGGTTACAGTCTTTAATGCTCTGAGGAACTGCGGAACTTCGGAACTGCTGCCCAGAGAGCACTTCACTCTATCCCCAGCAGAGCACTGACTTCTCCATGGCCTTTTCCAGCCAGGGAGAAGCTACAGCTCTCAGCAAGAGGAGCACCTCAGTTCCTGGCACTGGGGTAGGACCTGAACACTGAGATACCACTTCTGGGTCACAGTGTAAAGATGGGGTGGGGGGGGGCTTGCTGGGTGGTGGTGATGGAATGCCTTTGATCCCAGCACTCGGGAGGCAGAGGCAGACAGATCTCTGTGAGTTAAAGCCCAGCCTGGTCTACAGAAGAGTTCCAGGACAGGCTCCAAAGCTACACAGAGAAACCCTGTCTCGAAAAAAACCCAAAAACCAAACAAACAAGCAAACAAAGATATGGGGGCTCCATTAGTCTTTCCTTCCTGTTTCCAGTGGGTAAGAATGGAGGCAGGAGCCTGGCCCTAGATCTGGAAGCCAGAGCACTCTACAGTCTTGGGCTGCTCAATTCTGGAGTGCTGGGACAACAGGAAACACACACCCGTCCCCTTGAAGTCTCTGCATGCTGGGACCACACATCAAGTCAAGGTTAGCGGATGACCTCACTACCCAAGATGACCACGTGTCCAGGCTGTGTCACCACAGAGGAATGAGTCAAGGGAAGATGAGGAGTGATCCAGTGGTCCTCACCCTCCTGGGTGAACCAACAGCTCCTGTAATCTTTCAAAGTTGTACCTACCGACAGGTTTGTCTACAGGCAACATGCCCAGGTACTGCACGTGGAACTTCTGCACCAGCTCCGTCTTTGGTGTTGGAAAATCTACTACAGGGAACAAAAGCAATGTGTTTCTCAGTAGTTCCAGGAAATAGGGAAAGCCAGCTGTCTGTCTGGCATCTGCATACCCAGATGACCACCCATATCAGTATGTCCTGTTCCCAGACGTTCTAGAAGGACAGCCCCACTCCAGACATAGGGGCTTTGCCAGTCCAAACCCTACTGAGCTCTCTTTCAAGGTGAAATGCTTTGGAAGGCAAAAAACCAGGTCTGGTAAGTCATTTGTATGCTAAGAAACAGCTTTTCATGCCCTATTTGTTAGGTGTGGCTGGGGTAATATAATCAACTGGTAATTTAATCAAAGGCACGGGAGAAATGATGCAGCCACCCCCCCCACACTAACAATCTACATATTTTTAAACTAGAGAGTCCTTATCCCATGGCTATACATGGGATTAAAAAACAAAACAAAATGAAAAAACTCTGCTGAGAATATTCTGTCATTTGGTCAACAGAAACAAACAAACAAAAATAACAACTGCCCTCTGTGTTCCACACAACTGACAAAAGCAACTCTGTCCCCTGCAGGGCCTGGAGTACATGCTCATCTTGCCCTCCACCACCCAGGCAGGATCTCACCATGCAGCACCCAGGCCGGCTCATGGTCCTACTGATTCTACAGCCCAAATTCTAGAGATTGGATTCTAGGTTGGGGCCATCATCCCCCCCACCTTTTTTTTAAAAGAATTATTATGTATACAGTGTTCTGTCTGTGGGCCAGAAGAGGGCAGCAGATCTCATTACAAATGGTTGTGAGCCAACCATGTGGTTGCTGGGAATTGAACTCAGGATCTCTGGGAAGAGCAGTCAGTGCTCTTCACCTCTGAGCCATCTCTTCAGCCCCCAACCAGCATGCTCGATTTTAAGGCATATTTTGTATCTTATATGTATGAAATGTGCTGCTAGCTTGCATATATGTGCAGCGCATGCACACAGAGACAGTGGAAGCCAGAAGAGAGCAATGGATGCCCTATCAATGGAGTTAGCTAAGGTGGTGTGCAGCCCTGTGAGTGCTGGGAATCGAACCTGGGTATTCTGTAAGAGTAGCCAATGCCATCTCTCCAGACCTTGAGTGTGCTTTTAAAGGAGACTTGAAACACCAGTGAACCCCTGCAACCCTTCAGTCTTGCCAGACTGGCTGGAGCCTTGGAGGAGGAGCCGCTGTAGACATACCTTGCAAAGGGACGTCAAGACTCACATTGGTCCTCTCCTGTAATGAGCTGCAGGCCAGGGCTTTGGCATTCTTCCGTTCAGCCATAATCTAGACATCAGATGAAAGTGCAATTTGGATTCACAGTTAAGACCTCATGTCACCAGCCAGCCCTGCCAGTAAAGTGTCTGGGTTGATCCCACTGGGATTTAAACTAGCACTTATCTTCTGCCTTCCCTCACCGCCAGTGTCCCCCTGCACTACACAGAATGTGAGATTTCACTTTTCTCTGCTGGTGAACATTTCCTCAAAGTAACAGTTCTCCTAAGTGCTTTCAAGTTACTTCTTCCATCTACTGGTTCTCACCTCTGCGGAGAACAATTCAGCATGCATCCTCTGGGGACACCTGGACCTTCTGGCACCTGACCTCAGGGAGCACAGAGTAACAGACTTCCCTGGTGCCGTCCCATGGCAGCTCTTAGATACTCTTTCCAGGGCTCTGGAGACAGACGGCATGGTTCAGCTCTCACCGCTGCCCATACTAGCTGTGACTCTGGGTAGGTAAGCTGCCCTTCTGTGTCTCATCGCCTTTACTGCATACAGATGAGTGTATGTATATCATGGCGCTTTTGTGTGGAATAAACCAGTATTAAACAAGTCCAGAGGGCTCAGGAATGTCAGCTGCTGTCATCCTTATTCTCCGAGTCTTCCAGGCACTCTCTCTTCTATGAGGGTCACTAATGGTCACTGTGTGCAGGCATCTCAATTTATGTTCCTGTTCCCTATCAGTGAGTTACACAATGGTGTGGATTCAGGAACTGAGAGAAGCCGGGTCACAGTGGCCCTAGAAGTAACTCACACTTTCAATCCAAGCCCAAGATGTTCACTGCAAGGTGATGAACGCCATTTCTCTAGGTGTATGTAATATAGTGGTGGCTTGACCTTCACAGGGGCATAATAAACATAGGTTATATGCAAATACTCCACCATCTTGTGAGGGACTCAGGCATCTGAAGATGTGAGTGGGTAACCCCGATGGAACCATCATCCATATGCCCTGGACCTCCAAGTTCCACTACACATCAATGATACGGGCTGGAGACCACTCTGCCCATTTCTTCCTCTGTTTGATTTCACAGGCAGCTCTCCTGCCCTTTCACTTGCCTTTGTCTGCTCAGGCAGTGAAAGGAAATAGGGAGGAAGACCTTGTGCCTTGACCCATCTTACCTTGGAACAGATTTCGTGGAGACTCGTGGCAATAGCTTTTGCTGGTGTGTCACATCGAAACACATGACATTTCAGAATCCTCGTGTCTTTGTCTCTCGCTACATAAGCAAAATCCCTGTGCAAAGGAAATTTACCAGGATATCAGGAAAAGGAGACTTTTACTAACTTGCTCTCTTGTTATGAATATTAACTGAGCTCTCAGCCAGCATGTCAGTGGTGAACTGTGGATGAAGATTAAAACCAAAAACCAAAACATAAACAGCTACGGACTGCAGAAGCAGAGTTCAGTGGCTGTTAGGGACCTGTCGCTGTATGACATGGTAGCATCTTCTAAGCCTAGCTCTTGAACTCTGGGATAGGGACCAACCCAGAGTGAACACTGAATTCTGTTGAAAGCGTCTGTCTAGAGCAGTGACAAATAAGACGATGAGACAGTAAACACAGAATTGGGAAGGATATGAGTTGCAGAACAATATAATGGCAAAAAGCACGACAACAGAAAGCAAAACAATGGGCTGTGATGTGTGGACTTGTGTACAGCTGACGGGTCAGCCCCACAGCTGCCTGGGAAAGTTGATGGGCAATCAAAGAACACTGGAACACACATATCCTGTGGACTGGACTATTATCCAAGGCATGTGACTCGGCTGAACATTCACACTGTGGCTCTGGGGGAAATGCTGGCCTCCTGTGTTATGTATCTGGTTAACTTGAGCAAGTGGCCTATGCTGGATTGCTCTGTATACTGATAACCATTAAGACATAACTTGGCTTCAAAATAACCATACCACATAATTAAGTTTCTTGCTACTATTAATGGAGACAGTGTTTCTCCAAAGAGGAAATGAAAGGTCTCATTGTGTAGGCCAGGCTGGCCTGGGACTCCAATCTTCTTGCTTAACTTTTCAAATGCTGAAACCAAAGCATGAGCTACCCCACACAGCAGTTGAATTTGTTTTTATTTACTTGTCTTCCTATTTTTTTTTTAAGTTTTGAAGATACATCTTAATTTTAAAATTGTACGTATGGGTATGGGTATGTACATGTGTGTGCAGGTGCCCCCTGAGGCCAGAGGCATCCAATCTCCCTGCAGCTGGAGTCGTGAGGTGGGTGTTGGGAACCAAACTCCGGTACTCTCAAAGAGCAGGATGCACTCTTAACTACTCGTGGATTTTTGAGATATAGTCTAACAATGTGCCCCAGGCTGGCCACAAAATTACAGCAATTCTCTTGCTTCTACCTCCCCATGTGCTGGAATTACAGGTGTGAGCTACTGTGCAGGGTAAATTACTTCTCTTAATATGAGAGCAGGCAGTATTTTCATAGATGACCACATGAAAGTCTAGGATGAAGGAAAGTTGGTGAGCTCGAAGGATTGGCAAGAGAAACCTATCTCCCCACCTACATGCTCTGGAGTTGGTCCTAAACATGGGCTCCAGGCTAGCACATCCCTGCCTGCTACCTCACAGATTCTACCCTCAGCCTGCCCTTAGAACATCAGTCCTAACTTGCTCCTTCATTGGCTATCTCAGTGCTGGAATCAAATGATCCCTAGCCTGCCAGCCATAGTCCTGTACCCAATCCCAATGCTCTGTCCTATCTCACCACCTGGACACCTGAATCCTTTGCTTCCCTTCCAGCCTTCCCAGTGCCCAGCATTTTAGAAGTTCTTTTCCCTGCTCTTGCTTACTTGGTCTCTACTCTATTGCAACTGCTGGGCTTGGCAGTGCTCCCAGGTTCCCTGTATACACAACACTCACCAGTGGGCATCCTGCAAATCCATAAAGCTCCATGAAGATGGTTTACATCTTATTCCCAATGCCTATTCTGGGTCAGACCACAACCAGGATTGGTAATATTCGCAGACCGAAGCACAAGCTTGCTCTACATGTCCCTAGTGCTTATAGGGGATGGTGGCATTGACCCAGAGTTGTGAATGGATACCATGGCACTGGGTGAAGAGGTAGGTTTGGGGGCAGGGCAGACTGAGAGAGGTGAGCATAGTCTTTCCCAAAGCCTTCCCATCCCAGGCTCAAGTGCCATCAAGGAAACACACAACCTAAAAAAAAGAAATTGCTCAGGGAAGCCTTGTTCTTGGCTCCCTCCCCAGTCTCCCCTCATTCCCCAGATGGTTCAGACAGTAAGGCACACCATGTCTTACAACTCTTCTCCTTCCAACTCCAAGGTCTGGCAGTATGTTTCTGAGGCCAAATCTCCCCAGATTCCCTTGGGTCACTCACAGAAAGTGCAAACACCCTTGTCTAGATTTTAAGAGTTGTAAAACGTGTGTAACATCTTCTAAGCATCATCCCTTCTATCAACCCCCCCCTCAAGAAGAGGGTCTTCATGATTGCATGTTGTGGGATCTTCCCTCATTGGGTGATTGACTACTAGCTCTTTCTGTACTATCCAGAGCTCACTCACTGCCCAACACAGTCTACTGGAGGTCTGCCTGGCCCTCTGGTCTACAAGGCCTTGCTTGATTAAATGCTGTCATTATGCAAAGTCTGCTTGCTATACTCTCTCTTCTAGAAGTGTACAGTTCCCCTCTGTTTTTATCCTCTCTAATGGACAGGAAGGAACAGATAGAAGGGCACTGGATTCAGGCAAACCAGCTTCATGTTCATTCCTGGTTCTACTTAGCTAACCATCCCTAGCCCTCAAGCCAAAACTTCCTGGGTGCTGACAGGGCACCACAAGTAGAAAATTTCACACCATGAAACATTTTAATCAAATTATCAAATCGGTGTTAAAATGCCTTAGGCTTATGTGAACAAGAAATAATTGCCACATTGAATTGCGGGTCCCATCTCATCACAGAGATGCAAACATTCCAAATCCTCCTGGCCCTAAGCATGTTGGAGAAGAATATTGAACCCATGTGACCCCAGGCAAGGATGTTAATCCCATCTTTATGTGTGGGTAGAGATAATTACTTCTACATTGCTTTGCTTCTGATGGAAGCTTCCAGGATCCAACCTCCTTTCCCTGCCTGATTAATAGGCAGGAGGAAGCATACATTTCCAGGGTTACCAGCAGAGAGGATGGGACACTTCTAGACCACTAACCACTGGATCAGCCTCCCAAGTACCGGCTTTGTGCTGTCTGTTTTCATGTGTAACCTCACAGGCATAATTTTAAAAAATCATTATAATTAATCTTCATTTTCTTTCTGCTCAGGGGAAGGTGATGAATGCCTTGGGTCAACTGCCTGGAACCTCTATCTTCCCAAAGGAGAAAGTGTACAGCCTTGGGCTTTTTTGGGGAGAGCATTTCACAAATTTTGAGCAGCCTGTCTCTATTTCTTCTTAGGTAGATAACAGCTAGGCAGAAATCTGAGAAGTGAAAGTAGTGTGTGAGGCCATTCAGTGACCCTAGGAGACTTCATAGGCCTCCCCTAGTGCCCCTTCCATGAATAAAGAGGGCTGCATGTCTCTAACTTTATTTCATTAATATTCCAGATCACCCTAAAATAGCTATTAGTCCCCAACACAGGTGACAAGGCTTGTCCCTGAGACCTGAGGCATGGACGAGCATCTCATAAATCAGCAGTAAGTCCAAACACCTCTTCACTGGCTGTGCTGGATGCTGTTTTCAGCATCGCCTTCTGGAAAAGGCTGCTGCAGCAGACACAGTAATAGCTTCCCTTGGTCCCCAAAGATGTTCTTGTCCTAATTTATGGACTCTGTGAAAGGGTCTTTGCAGATGTACCAATTTAAGTATCGGAGATGGGGCTGTTTTTTCTGAATTGCCTGGCTCAGGGAAATCCTGATGGAAACAAGGCTACTCCTGACTTAGAAACGAGACGACAGGAGCAGGGCCATGATGGAAGGGCACGGGTAAGGGCAAGCACATGTGCTCTTCCGAAATTCCTACAAGAAATACAAACCTGCGATCTCTGATGAAAACCTCCCTGTAGACCGCTGACCTCTAGCACTCTAGGAGAGTATATCTGTTGCGTTAAGCCACTTAAGCTCATGGTAATTTGTTATAGCAGCAACAGGAAGCTATACAGCTGCCCCACAACTTCCCCCAAATTGCAGCATGGCATTCAGAATTTATATGTTTTGAAATAGTCAATTCACTCCCACAGTTTCCTTCTGTGCCACTGCCATGGTGCATCAATGATGAAAACACAGACAGACAAGGAGCCAGCCAGGAAAGCCACTGGCAAATTTCACGCACTGGTCAGAGCTATAGGAGCGGTTCCTTACAGCCTCTCCAGGGTAAAGCAAGGAACAGGCGGCTCCAATGACCACAAAGACAAGAGGTAAGTGAGTACCCAGGTGCCTGCAAGAGCCCCTGGTTGTTCTCTGTATACAGCAGGAGCTGTGGTGGCTCTACGGATGCTGTCCCAGGACTCTACCATCTGTCTGTACAGCACCGCCCCTGCTGTGTGTCTGAGCCATTCAAGCCTTGCATCCTCACACGTGTCCTGACATATGTGGCATGTGCTTCAAAAAGTTTGGTGTGGTGGTGAACACTGAGTTTGAGGTGTTCAAAGGGCAACAGTGGGGAGGTCCACCAACACTTGGTCCTTGAGGTCTGAGGGAGACATAGACTGGAGGGGGAGCTGAAGTCAGCAGAGCAGACAAGGGTGGAGAATGCAGAAGCCTTCAAAGGAAGGTGGGGAAGGAGTGAGAGGGGCAAGGAGGCCCAAGGTGAGGCTGGGAGAAGTTCCCAGACCTGAGGGACTGAGCACTAGGAGACCGATTAGATTGTCTGGGAGAAAGGGAAGCTGACAGGAACCTTGTCCTCCTGGACTGTGATCTAGAAAAGTGTGGGATCCTGGTTAAAGCAAAATCCATTATCTTGCTTGTTTAAAAAACAAAACAAAACAACAGAAAACCACATCTCTCTTTGGAACTTAACAATTACATATGAAAGCAGACAAGAAATGAACTCTCATGTCTGACTGCTCAACTTCCACAATGGTCAAAATGGCACCATCTAGCTTGGTATAAAATTTTACTGCTCTGACAGTATCATGATGCCATTAGGCTTAACTTGGGATTCTTTTCATGTTTCCTAGTGATTTTCCTGCATTCTGAAGGAATAAAGAAGCCATGCTGTAGCTATCCCTCTATAGTTGGGTCCCTCCATAGCCGGGGACCC